GGATTATTGGGTTTTTTTTTCCCCTCCAGTCTTCAAAAAATGTATACATTAGCCTGATCAAGATTTTACTACGAATACTGGTTAATTAATACAAAAAGGGAAAAATTTCACAGTACTTATTTTCATTTGCTCTTCTACTTGTCATAAAGTAAAATCAAGAGCATATGAAACAAAATTGAATAGCTACTCAGTTCTGAATTCATGAATACCTATATCCTTTATCTACTGATTATTTTATTAGCTCTATTCTGTTAATTGAAGCATCTGAGTTATTCATATTGCTATAGATGTATTAAAAAAATCATGAAATCATTTTGTATTCAGAACTATAAGGCTCTCAGAGGAACCATTCACTACCCTTTCTATCCTTTCTCTTCATCTCATTAATCAGAAACAACCTCCTGCAATATCAAGACAGGAACAAAACTTCGAAAGAAGATCAAAATGTATCATGTTTGCAAAGTACACATTAAACAATTTAAAATTATATGGGTTCCTGAAAGGAAAAAAAAAAAAAAAAATCAACCTCACCAGTTATTTCCAACAACATAACTATATCATGAAAAAAAGAACCACTGTTCATTGCATGCAGCCATTCATTTTTGCATTAATTATGTAATATTAAATAATGACATTTCTAAGTGAAAAAAGGCATTATTTCATGCAACTGAATTTACAGTTTATAAGTGTCACAGTAAATCTAATTATGACATTGTAATCTCATAAAAGCAGCATGTCAACTGATAAACATTAATATGTTGTCTTAGAACCACCTACTCCAAATGGATAATCTAATTGTCCCTCAGTTTTTGACAGACAGGCAACAATTCTGGGAATGAATACTGCTGAATAATTCCTTGTGTCTTCCCAGTTCTTTCCACCTCGTAGCCTTCTGCTCTCTATTGAAACCCTCTACGTTAACTCTTCTATATTACACATTGAAGCAAAATTAGAGAGGATAACTATCTACATGGAAACAAAATACAGTATCTGAGAGGTTGCAAGATTACAAGATGAAGAACCACTTTGTTGTTTAAAAACATTTAGAGTCCTCCTGCTCCTATATATATATATATAAAATCAATCCATATATAGAACACTACTAATCATGCTGTGAGAAAGTATGTCACAAAGAGTATGTAGAAGGAAAAGATAACTAACTTTGGCCTGTAATATCAAAGAACAGGTGCTCAAAGCATATACTTTTAAAACTAACCTCCAAAAGATGTTCAAGCCATGTTTACTGTCATAAGTTTACTGTCCATAAACTTCATGGGTCTCTTTTTGCTCTCAAAAGGTTTAATTTTACGAGTTTTCTGTTGAAATACATCCTATTTTAGCAGACTACTTGTTCAATTTGCCAAATTTGATTTAATTTTTCATTGTGTCTTTTTCAGAACATTTTAACCCTTCCATGCTTGGTATTACCTGGGTGCATAACACACCCACCATTCAGAACACTGATGAAAGCCTCAAACACATGACTGATACCTACCAGCTCACACTACAAATCGTTCCAATTTCACTGTGAATCACTGATAAGTACACTTCACTTTAACACAGTCTTCCAATCAGGCATTCATACAACAGCAATTTCATCTCATATGCTTCCCACCAGGTTGCTAATGAAAATCTGAGACAACAAAAAGTTTCCCTAATGTAAAAGTGTAACTGTTTCTCTTATGCATAAAGCCTGTTTGAAGACAGACTTGCTTGACATTACACAGTATGCCAGAGATTGGAAAAGACCTCAGAAGATCATCTAGTCCAATCCCCTGCCGGAGCAGGATCACATTATTCTTATCAAATCCATATTGAGTGTTAGTTTTATTTTTCCTCGTATATCCCTTATATTTTAGAGTCAAGGATCTTTTAAAAATACAAAAAATTCTTACAGTTTACAAATAACTTTCTTTGATAGTTCTCATTTTTCCAGAAACCACAATAAAAATATCAAACTTATAATTTGCTTATTTCTCTCTTCCCCCCTCCCCCCCCACAGTCTGTCTGTTGGAAGTTACTGAAGTTGGCTGTAAGCCTATTTCAGCAGGTACAGGGAATCTGAAAGCAGTTTTAAGTGTTTAAGTAAGAAAAATCTCCATTTAAGAAAGGAAGTTTCATAAATCACTAATCTTCAGGCACAGAGAGATAAAGCTATCAATCTTCAGTATAGATGTAATAGATCCAACCCCTATTTTTACCTTTAAAATTATACCTTTTTGATAATTATAATTGGAATTAGTGGTTAGAAAGAATAAGACTAACTAGCTGACAAACCAGCTTGGACTTCCAAAGCCATTCTTTCAGAAAGGCTCTCTCCAAATGCTCACAAGAAAACTAAGCAGCAATTAGATAAGAGGAATAGTCCTTTCATGCACAAACATTTGATTACAAGAGAGGAAATTATAAAAACACATGGTCAAGTCAGAAAACCAACAGAAGAACCCCTGTGGAGTTTTACTGGAACCTCTGGATAGGTTCTGTGCTGTCTTGACATAACCTAAGCAACCCAGAGAACAGGGTGAACAGTAAGACGACTGATTTTCCTCATGATTTTAGGTAACGCGGGGCAGTAAAGATGAGAGCCAGAAGCAAATAAGGATTTTATAAGGCAGTCAAGGGCTAGCAGATGAAATTCAAGGGAGATTATGTGAAGTTATGGACAACTGAATATAACCCTACCTTCATGTATAACAAGCTGCGATCCAAGCTGATTATAAGCACTGGTGAGATTCTTCAAATATGATAAACGCTTACATTAAAATATTAGCTCAGTAGCAGTAAAGAAAAAGTTAATCCAAAGCTAAAAAGTACAACTTGAGTGCTGGGAATTGCTGGCAGAGGCTAAAAGGGCAAACACTAACACCAACGCATAACCCATTTTACAGCTGTATTACGAAAAACATGAACTGTTTGTTTTGGGTTTTGGGTTTTTGAGATGAGGAGACCAAAAGTGATAGATCTGAGAAAGACTTAGAAAAGAATCAAAGGAATGTCATTTTCATGAAAGGAACTATCACACGTGCTGAAATTCTCCTGCCTGGAAAATAGCTGATGGAGGGATGTGATGATGGTGTCTAACAAAATTACAGGTGGCACCAAGTCCAGCACCCAACATCAATTCTTCAACATTTCTTCCAGTACAAGGAATAGGAAACCCTAGCAAAAGCCACCAAAGCCTAGTGAAAACCGAATGAAAAGCCATGGTGCTTCACATGACAGGATAAGCTGTGGGATTCACTATTATACGAGGCTGTGGTCACCAGGATTTTATACAGGTCCAAAATCAGCTGGGTTAATTCAAAGAAAAGTCCACTGAGAGTTACTAAGCAGACAGAAATGTAGCTGAATCATAAAGGATCGGTGGAGGTACTACTGTATACTAAGTCTATTCTATGAACTTTTGGATATTGTTAGCAGTTGAATACTGGGCTACCCAATATTTATATTAACTTACTATGCAGTAAGGATTCATACTAAATAAACAGGTAAGTTAAAATACGCTCTTTTTGTCTTCTGTTAGATTCACACTTACAAGAAAATAAGAGCATTTGTTAAAAATAAAAAGATACAACATTCTATGAAATGAATGAATGAATACAAGGACGCAGAACAGTTACACATTTACTTTCCCCTCAAGATGAGAAAATAGCTTTGATGAAGAAAAAACACACAAACACAACACAAACACATAACTAATTTGGCAGGTGACAAAGTCTCTTAAGTACCCAGTTCAGATTCCAAATGCTAACACAAGACTCTGATGTGACATTTCTGTAAGAAAGGCTAGCAAAATCAGTGTATATTAGAATATTCCTACTACTACTCTTACTAACCATTAAGCTTTTAAATGGCAGAACCTTCACTAGACTTTCTGATAGTGTTGGTTCTGACAATAGGTGCATCCTAGTGCACCTACTCTAAGTAAATATTAAGTATTATTGCTGTCAGTCTCGATACACAAGTTATACAAGAAAATCATAAATCATTTCACTGAATTCTGGATCAAGAGACAGTTTCCCACTTAAGTAACTGATGTAAGGCTTGTTAGTCCCATAGCTATTTAGGTTCATGTGATGCCTAGGAGGCGGGGAGTTTGGTAAGAAGCACTGATGATCACAAACTCAGAAGTAAACTAAAAATTGCAGTTGTTGCTGCCTGCCAGCAAAGAAGTTTAGCTTGGGAATCTGGAAGTGAGAGAAACACAGGATTGTGTTTTTGTCTGGGGAAAGTTAACAGATGGTCTAAAAGAAGCAGCTTTAAAATACAACCAGCAGCCAAAAAGTGTGTGGAAACAGCAATACGAGGGGGCTTTTTTTTCATCTATTCTGTGCCACTGTTTTGTACAGCTTCGTGTAATAGCATAGTCTCAAAGCTTATAGCTTTATTCATCCAGATTACAATAATATTTTTATAACTTAGTGAAAACACTGTTATGCTGTAAATAAAAGTATTTGAAATTCATATTTACGGGATGCTCTTTTCTAAGACACAGGTCTCAAACACTGCTGAAAACACAACTTCCCCTTCATTCTGTAACATAGAATTACAGAAGGTTGCATATGGGGATTTAGTATCGTATTTTCTTTTAACTTTAAAAGAGAGCTAAGTCCCTATACAGCTAATATAAAACATGCTTTTGGATGTTTATGCTCTTGCAGAGGTGGCTCATTTACCTCTCCAGGAAAGGTTGCTAGGTATAGTAAGACTGCTGCTGGAAAAAATAAAAGCACTAGACAGTCTCAAAAATAAGAAAAAGGGTAGTGACAAAATAAATATTCTCTTTAGCCATGTAAAAGAACGTCACGTGAAAGAAATTATAACCCCATTTGATTCTTATTAATGTGCTTTCTTACTGTTTAGCAGTCAGAGGCAGATAGACCAAGATATACAATTCTTCTTGTAAATGACAAACTTGTTCCAGCACACGATACAGTACCATAAGCAAAACATGAAGTACTTCACTGTAAATCAACAGGAAAACTTTCAGAATTACTTACCTGATTTTCTTCATGGGAAACTCTCATTTGTTCTTTAAGAACTGACATTCTGGCTGCTTCTTCTTTTCTCAGTACTCTTTCTTTCTTCAGCTCAGGACTCCAGAAAGTTTTGATGCTATTCATGGAGGATCCCAATTTGCTGTCCTTAATGTCTAGTTCTTTTCTGAGAAGATCATTCTCCCTCTGTAGTTCCTTAAGCTGAGCCTGCAAATCTAACATGGTACTATCCCTAACCTGTCTCAACATAGAAGGAACCTGATGGTGGTGATGGTGTGAAGATGTGGTCAGACCTCCATGCTGATCAGTATAAGAAAGGACATCTGTGTGTGAAAGTCCAGCTGAAGCAATATTAGGACTGCTCCCCATAGCTGTGACTCGACCACCATACATAGCTCGATTTGTAGCCCTTCCAAGAGTCATTGTGCCCTTTGGGAAAGTAGTAGAAGCTACACCTTCATGGTCACTCAGATACATTGGTCCAGATGTTGCATAGGCTGCATTAAGGGACTGGATGTTTTCCATTGATAACGTCTTACCTGTTCCTCCTCCTCCTCCACTACTTGTTCGCCTATGGCCCAGGCGAGGGGATCTTGGCAAACGAGGAGACCTAGAGGGACTTCCTTCTAAGTTGCTGATTGTTCTTGCACTTCCATACATTTTTCTTCTACTTTGAGGTACTATTTAGTAAGAAATTAGTAACACTAAAGTTGAATATTAAATTTATAATTCCAGCTAGAAATGTTGGCAGTTTCACTGCATTCTTCCAGTAGACAAAAATCTGTTGTTCCTCCGAAGTCAGAGACCTGAAAGGAGATATTATCAAGTTAAGTAAATTTGCATCTTGTAAACTTATTTTCCAATTAATCAGCATATATCAGAATATAAAGTAACCCACTTCCTAAAATAACTACTTTAGAAATAAAGTTTAGTATACATTTTGTATTTAGGATGACTACTTAAAAATGCATCTCAAGCTAATTTTATTAAGAGAAAGATGTTCATTTTATTCTTGCTAGAAAATATCTTTACTTAGTTTAATTAGCTTTATGCTGCAACAAACATGGGCCCAAAAACATATTTTACCTGATATGTTAATGGACTGAAACAACTATGTGGAATTACATTAAGAAAAAGCAAATAGCTGTTGTTAACATAAAGAACTACCCAGAATAAGATATTACATTTTCAAAAGCACAGAAGTAGTAATTCAGTAGTTTTTTATATCCTCTAGTAATATTAACACAGAATAGGGAAATCAGCAGGAGTTTTAATTTTTGTTTGGATTAATAAAGATTTTTTTTTATAGGAAAAAAGCTGAAGAAAGCTTGTTTCCAATTGTTCAGCCGTAACCAGCAAAGAGAGTTTAGTGAAAAAAATTAATAAAATTAAAATAATTTTAGTGAATGTTTCCTTCTGAACAATTTTAATGTATTACAACACACTATTATTTGTTCAGTACTAGCTTGCTAACAGTTGTTGTTAATAAGCTTGAGGAAAAGTCTGCATGACACTAATCTAGTATTTCATTTAGAAAATGAGTGCTCATGAAATACAATTTTTTCTTTGTTACCTATGAGTATCATATTATTACTTAACTACATTTGTAATTTATTTAACCAAGCAGATAGATGTGGACCAACGCTCAGTTTTCAAATTCTTCAATATTATCGTTAGACATTTACCAAGTTTTAAGTAAGTTTATTAACTTTACATAGCATAAGCATACAAACAGTGCTTTAGGGTTAGGCAGGCCCAATGATTTTATTCTAACAAGTCTGAACATTTCAATTTGTGGTACTATGTAAATTGATGGTCATCAACCAGATCTAGTATCATTTACTTCAAAGATAACTAGAAGAAGAAAAGTTGGATTCAGTCAAATCCAGTAATCTTTAACTGTACCCTCAAGGCAGCCTCATTATCTATAGATATGTTATTTCCAGAGCTGCAAAACATCTGTTCTACATTTGTTGTAAAGAAAGCACTGATGCAGGAACAGGCAGAAGGATGATATGATGTCATTTATTAATAAGCTCTAGCACATTAAAGCCTTACCAATGATACTAGCGTAAACCACTATGGATATCAATGATGTCAGCAAACAAAAAGCATGACACATTCTCCAATGACCCCTCATTTTCCCTCCACAATCATACATCACATGGCTCTCATTAATTCTAGGAAATGCTTGGTATATTGTATGTTCTCATCAAGTTTAACAGCCAACATAGTTTAAAGCATTTTTGTTTCATTTGAATTACCATTATTGTCCTGGGTTCAGCAGTAGCAGTAATTTTTTTCCTTCTTAGTAGCTGGTGCAGTGCTATGTTTTTGACTTTCAGCCGGGGAACAGCACCAGTAACACAGATGTTTTTACTTGTCACTAAGTAATGTTTACTCCAACCAAGCACTTTTTGAGTCTCATGCTCTGCCAGGGAGGAGGGGAAGCCAGAAGGAAGCACAGACAGGACACCTGACCCAAACTAGCCAAAGGAGTATTCTACATCACAGCACATCATGCCCAGCATATAAACTGGGGACAGTTACCCAGAAGGGCTAGATCACTGCTCAGGTTGGGCTGGGTATCAGTCGGCAGGTGGTGAGCAGCTGTATTCTCTTCCCTTGTTATTTCCCTTATCATTATTATTATTGGTGGCAGCAGAAGTGGTTTATGTTATACCTTAGTTACTGGACTGTTCTTATTTCAACCCACGGGAGTTACATTCTTTTGATTCTCCTCCCCATCCCTCCAGGAGCAGGGCGAGGACAAAGGGGGGGGAGGGGTGGTGAGAGTGCAGCTGCATGGTTCAGAGTTACAGGCTGGGCTTAAACCACGACAATAATGCTACTGAATTAGATGAGGTGTTTCAACTACTTTTTATCAACAGTGGCCATTCTCATGAATTTTCACCTCTTTCCCAAGAGGTCACAAAAGTATTGTGTCAAGAATCACAAGACAGCCTTTCACTACACCACAATGTTGATGTCAGTGCCACTATGGCTGCTGGACAAAAATATACGAGTGTGGTATTTATTCAACACCAATAATTTGGAAACACTAAACTCTTTGTACTGCACCCAGGCTGCTCCATTAAAAGTATCTGATTTCAATGCAAACATCACCCCTGGCAAAATATATCAAACAAGCTAACATTGCTCCATACACACTATATTAACAAGACCAGTAATACCGTCATAAAACATTACCCATTTTTGCCATGTAAAAACATTCTGGCTATGCATAAAGCAAAGGCAGGGGTACCTACTTCAGTGAGAAAATGTAGTTTTTAACTATGTACGAAGGCAGATACAAAGTTATGCTCTAGCAAATCTTTTCTACTGTAAGATCACCTAACTGGAGGCAAAAGCCTGATCCAACTCCTTGAGCCATGAAAGCCTCTTAAAGCTTTCAGAATTCAGCCCCAAGGGGCACACATTGAAAGGAACCAGATGTAACTTGCTGATTTGTACTTTCAAATTTTGACATGAGTATCCAAATCTACCCCCCTTTTCAGTTGTCATCCAGCACTCAAGACATGACCCACAGCTTGTTTCACAAAACACTGGTGCAACTTTTCTGCCATCTCAACTTCAATACATTGATCAAACTGTATCTCATCATGGCGACTGGGGACAATGCAATTATTTATCCTAATTCTCAAGTGCCAGCCATCCTCTGGGCAAATAACATCACTTCTAATACACTCTGAAGAATCCACCCTCATGAATTTCTAGTTTTCTGAGAAAGTTTCATAGTTCCTTCAATGAGGGTCTCGGATGAGGTGAGAGAAAATCATTTTCCTTCCACTGTCTCATAGCAGATCTCGAGCAAAACCAACTGTCTTCCAGACTGATACAAGTCTCCACTTCCCTCCCTCCTCAAGTCTGGCCTGGTGAAAAACACAAAACTGTAACTATAAACGGTCAATGTAAATGTAAACTGGATACAATCATGTATTTTTAGATGAAGCAGACATGATACATAGCTAGGTAGTGGAGATTGGTGCAGATTTGTTGATCCTCAAAAACACAGGTACAAGATACCCTTATGTCATTTCAGTACTGTTCTTCCTTTCCATAGCCACTCTGATAAATAAGTAATTTATGCTTCTTCCTTTGAGTCACTTAGTATCCTACTGAGCCTTTTCTTTATGCCTCTGATATATATTTTTAGTATTTGTTTTGCCTTTTAGAATTTATTAGTTGTACTCCATCTTCTTTTGCCTACTTGCTATGTTTTGAGAAGCCCTCAAAGCAGAGAACACTTTTAACACTCCAATGCTTTACCAATGAGCCCTACTGAAAAAGGGAATCATTATCCCCCATCCAAAGGGAGATTTAACTTCTCCCTGGACTTCCTTATTTTCATTATCATCATCAAATACTGATTTAACACTAACTTTTATAAGCCTGTGAAAATTCTGAAAGCAACAGGAAAAGAGAACTAAAACACCACCAAAGAAGTGTTACCACATCCACAGCATTTTCAATTATTATTTTTAATTTTCCCCTGAAAGTATTCTAATCAAGATGGAGACCTCCAAGACCTCTACGGAGAAAGTGCAAGCAAACTGACAATATGCTTGGTTTCCTTTCTTTCACGAGCTCCTAAAGATAGCTCACAGACCAATAACTGAAAATTCTGATGTAAGAATTTCTTACAGTTTATCTGTTTTCATTTGCAATTCATTACCTTCTACAACCTCAATTATACACACTGGCCCTCTTGGAACACCTTAAAAAAAAAAAAGGAAAGCATATGAATGTGTGCTTTTAGGGAGTTTATACATCTTAAGGACAAACCTTGAGCCTTCCTTTATGGCTGTGAAAAATCTCAGGCAAAGGAGAAGCCATATACTATTGCTTTATGGAAGAGGGGAGAATAACACCTACATCATTTTCTACTCTTCACTGCTTACACAGAGCCTTTCTAACTTCAGAAAGATTTACAGAGTTTCTCAACATATCAGGAATTGGAGGCATGAAGAAGCAATATAAGCCTCAGGGCCTCAACAACTGTCACACATATAATCTACTGCCTGTAGAAAAAAAAGAAAGAGGAGATCCCTTCTACCATCTTCTCATAGAACCTGCTGACACAGAGCCGTTCTAGTCAAACTTGGAATGGGCAGGTAAGATATAGATGATTCTATCTTGAAAACTAAATTGATTTTATATTGCTCTTTCAATTATTGGGGGAATGATCCAGAAATTATTACTGTAAAGCAATCATTTCTCACCGAATGTTTCAAGGATGGTTTTGCTGAAATAAAGTATAACCTTTATGCATCATAGTGCAAGGGGTAGAGAAGGAGATAAATGGAAGGCAGTGGAAACGTAAGAATCTCATCTATGTAGGATGGGAGAGCTGTTCAGACAAGAACAAGAGTACCCACAACTAAAGGGAACAACCCTCCCTTTTGACAGAAGCCCAGAAGTTGTAGATGTTGCAGCTGGAAGCACAAGGAGCTCAGATACATCTCATGAAACCTTTATAACCCCAAAAACTTGTGAGACAAAAAATTACTCAGATTCATTCAGTCTAGTTTGGGACAAGCTGCCAACCCACTTGCATTTTCCTTGCAAAAGGTTATTTAGAGTTTTAAAATGCAAATCTAGAAAATATGAGAAAGAGCAGAAGCTCATCTACTTTACAGAATCATAGAATAATAAGGGTTGGAAAGGACCTTAAGATCATCTAGTTCCAACCCCCCTGCCATGGGCAGGGACACCTCACACTAAACTATGCCACCCAAGGCTCTTCCCAACCTGGCCTTGAACACCGCCAGGGATAGAGCATTCA